AAAAAAAAAAAAAAAAAAAAATTCAGTCAATCAAGGGAGGCCCTATCGTTCTCTACAGCTACCTGAAAGGAGGTTGTAGTGATCAATCAACAAATGACAGGACAAGAGGACAATGGCCTCAAGTTGTGCCATGGCAGGTTTAGACTGGATATTAGAAAAATTCCTTCACAGAAAGAGTTGTGAAGCATTCAAACAGGCTGCCCAGGAAAGTGGTGGACTTACCATCCCTAGAGGTATTTAAAAGATGTGTAGATGTGACACTTAAGGACAGTTTTAGGGTAACAGCTGGACTCAATCTTTGAGGTCTTTTCTAACCTTAAAGACTGTGATTTTACCTCAAAGCCATGAGTACTGATGGGTTCAAATTCTGTACTGAACAAAAGTGTACTATTTTAAAAGTGAGGTTTAGAAACTGGAGAAGAGGGCAGAGAACCACATAAAAATAATTCAAGAGTGGAAAAATATGTTTTATTTTGAGAGGACAAAAGCTCAGTCAAAAACAATACAGTAAGTGACTAATTAGTGCATAAATCTGTGCAGAGGAACAAAAGGAGCTATACTTTCTGCAAGCAAGGCTATTTACTATTCAGTCAGGTTTCCAAGCAGAGTCCAATATAATCATGGCTCTGTACCTTAAGTGAAAGAAAAGTATTCTAAAGAAATGTAAGTTATGGGACTCCACAGAGTGGCAGTCAGTCAAAAATTAACAGCTTACACTAAATGTGATCAGAGGAACAATCTGATATGAACTACTACTGTAGTATCTTCCTCAGCAGCCACTTTGGGAGACACCTTTTTTAGAGCTACCTAAAGGAGCTCAGTTAAAGCTAATTTTAAGATTGTTACCTAAAGAGTTCAAATAAGCTGAAGAAAACTGACCTGGCCTTGAAGAAGCTGTTTCTCATCAAAACATTCCTGTTCTAGTTCAATAATGCTTTTTGTTTTAATACTAATAATTCTCCCTACTATTTAAATCCTGGCACATATCAAAAGTAATCTTAAAATACTAATTCTGTAGATTGGTTAGTTCTTGCACAGACAGAAGGGCCCTGAATGATACCAAGTTATATTTTCAATAGAAGTCTCCCCAGATGAAGAATCACCAGAGACAACCATGGATTTCCTAAAGTCTTAGAGAGCTGATTATTCTTAAGCCAATTATTGATTGCTGTTACTACTTAATTTCAGCTGAAGTGTTCTTAAATGCCAGTTTTATTAACTAAAATCACCATTATTTCTTTTACAACCAGAAATACACAGCATCAGTTATTCAGTCTAATACCTCCACATAAAAGATCATAGGACTCTAGTAATTCAGCCTAAACATTTGTATAAAATAAGACCAAATCCTACTGAGGCACAAACAGCAGAAACTGGCCAGCACAATTTGTGTGGACACATCGCCCCTACTTAAAGAATTGTGCTTATCTGTAAACCTTATCCAAAACAACTCCAAACACTGACTTTTTTTAGCCAGTTGCCTTGTGCAGACTCTGGAGTTTTTTCAGCTTTGCTTTAGAGAAAGCAAACTGCAAGCCTGAAACTGCTAGAAAACAACCTCCTTCCCCTGCATCCTGGCTTCAGGTAGTTCCCCATCCTCCAAATATTTCACTTCTTGAATATATTCCCAGATTAGAGTCAATCCTTCTTGATATCTGACAGTGAAGAAAAAACAACAAAAAAACACCAGACAAACTTATATACCCTCCACTTCAAAAATTTCTGCTCATGACGAAAATATTTATTGAAGCAGGCATATCCTATGTTTCACCCTTATCCCCAGATGACTGGCATTACCGCCACTCACTGGGAATCCACCAGAGTTGAAAGGAATTTCTCATTCTTAAAAATGTTAAGAGAGGTTCAGTTCCAACAGAAAATTTTGGAATAAACTCTAGTCAATTATGCTAAAAGCCTGTAATTGGAGACAGCAAAATAATTTGCCATCTTGTTTTCTTTGTCTAACTTCAGATACTGAAAGAAATTATTTGCACACTGATGCAAAACCAGAACAAAACCCCAAACTCTTTAGCACTTATTTAAATATAACAAAAGCAAATTATAATTATTATACATATATAAAAATATTTACAGGTGGTGTATTGAAGCCTCTTTCTGCTTAGCTGTTGACTGAAAATAAACACTTGCTTTTCACCTTTTATAAAAACCTCCTATTCAACAGCTTCACTTCATTAAACAATATATTAAAATGTAATTAAAATTGCTAATTTAATTTAATTCCAGAGCATTATGGCTCTGGAAGAAGCACATGACCATATGCCACATACTGTTCCATCTTGTTGACCTTTTCTCTCTTCCATAGCTTCTAGATATACAGATGATCAGGAGAGGAAAGGCAACAAGTGGGGAATGAGCAAAACAAGAAATCAAAAACTCCCTGCCCGTGTGAGCAGTCACTTGCTCAGAGCTTGCTGCTGGTAAGCCAGAAACAGGCACTGTTCATCAAACATAATTCAAGGGATGGCCTTGCAAGAAAGACAGGTGCCAAAATCAGGAGATGATCAGTGCTCTGTCTTTTTTTCCCTTTCCATTCTGCACTCTCAAGGTGCCAGCTGCAAGAGCACTCACTGGGGGGATATAGTTCTTACTGACTTGAATAATATCAACACTTGTTATCTGGTACCATGATTACATCCTTATATTACCACTCAGCGTTGTGCATTGTCTGTAAGCAATACTCACATGGCAAGTAACCCAAATTTTTTAATTCATTATGGCTACCCTGGTCTGGCCTTGCTGCTGCACAGCAGCACCCTGCCTTCAGAGCAAAGGCAGAAGGGGATGGTCTTGTCCTAGGCTGTAAATTAGCATGATAATTTTCACATTATGATTAGTATTTACCTGGTGTAAATTATCTAATTATGCCTTCTGTCTTTAAACTACTCATCTAGAAACACACACCTTTCCTTACAACCAGGACAAGAGCAAATCACACAGCTGGAAAATCAGAGGCAGAAAGAGGGGAGATAAATGAGATAAAATGAGCAGCAACTAGGGGCGTGGCTGCTAGAGGAATAGTGAAGAACATAGCAAAGCAAACCAGGGGCAAATCGTGCTTTGTATTCATCCCTATAAATTCACAGGGAAAAGAAATAAAAGCACCTCCAAAAACTGGAGTTTGGCTTGAAACACAAAAAGGGGAAGGAAAGCACAGCTTGTTAATTATCGTACTCTGCTGATTCCCCCCTCACACACTCTAAGCCTGCTCATCCATTATTTTTTATGTTTATGACCTGCTGGACCAGCTCCACTGGCAGGCGAGGGCGACAGCTCGGCACGGGAGGATGGGAGGGAGCAAGAACAGAGGCAGGACACCGCCCCCAAGGGAGTGCACAGCTCTGCCGGGCAGAGTTCACTAGTCCTGTGCAACTTCCCAGTACCTCCTCATGGAAAATGGGCTGGAATCTGCCTGGGAAGGTGCTGGCCTAGGCGATCACTCCCACCTCAAGCCCCGTGGTCCCAGGCAAAGGTGCTTGGCGGTTAGCGATGGCAAGTCCACTCCCTGCCCAAAAGATAGGTCAGGTTTGTATAAAGAAAGGAAGGAAAGTCCTCTCTGGAGGAAAAACAAAGGCAAGGAGGTTTTTTTTTGGGGGGTGGGATTTTTTGTTTTGAGTAACAGCAACAACAACAAAAACCCAAACAACCAGAAACCCAAAGAAACCCCTAATGTTTTACTTACTCCATGCTTATGCAGTGCAGGAGCTTTGTTCTTACTTCCCTCTTCACCTCAGGCTTCCTGATCTTTGCTTCCAAGGAGAGGTTATCAAAAGCACGGCTTGTATAGTCATATCGGAGTAATTGGCAGGTGTCGGTCCCCTTTAAAATCTGGGCAAAGGCACTCATTTCATCCCGCCTGCTTCAGGGGCGGGCTTCCCTGCCTTCTCCTGGTAGCAAGTGCTGAGTAAGGAAGAGCTCTCTAAAGCAGAAGCTTGAAGGAAGCTGCTCCCACTGCCAAGGCCAATAGTAGAGCTTTAGAAGTAACTGGGAGAAAGTACCTAAATCCCAAGCAGTGAGGCTGTTGGCTACATCACGCCATGTGGAAAACCACCCTCTGGATGGAAGTGGGAGAGCTGTGGCTAAGGCAGAGGGTGAGCCAACCAGCCCTCTTGAAATCAAAAATCAGTCATTGTACTGTCATGTTGGTGTGTGCATGCCAGTTCTAGCAGCCTGGTAATTCCCGGCTATGTTAATATAGTTCCACTATTTCTGAGTTCTCTCCTGTGCCAGTACTAATACAGATGTGCTTGCACAGTCTGGCTTGCCATGCATCTTTACAGTCCCATGGGGGCCCTGAAATCCTCTTTTTTACTGGGTATGTGTGCTTATGGTGGTTTAAGAAGGTGGTATAAAAGTGTCATGCTGTTATCCACAGAAAAAGGGCTTTATTCAATGAACGGCAGAAAACAGGACAGAGGTTCTTAGTGTATATTCTTAGGCATATTCTTGTTTGGAGACCAAAATAAATATTAATACAAAATACCATGGCAAGGAGAAAAAAACAGAACTCATTAACCAGACCCTGATAATTACTGGTATTCACAGCATTATCGGTGTGTGCGGTGCATGAGTCTTAAGGGGAACATTAGGGTCTTAAATGTTTATCTGCGTATAGGAGTAGTAATTGCAACATTTTCCTCAAGAAATTCTGCTCAAAGAAGTAATTGGTAGAAGTAATTGAAGCTGAGAGAAGCCCATGGAGGGGGGCAAAGAAATGAGACTGCAAGGAAGAAGCTTTCAGCTGAAATTAGTGCAAGGGCACTCCTGAGGAGAGGAAGATGCTTGAATGCATTAAGGAGCAGATATTAAAGGAAAGATTCAGAAATACTAAGAGGAAGATTTTTTTTTCCTTGTTTTGAAGGACTTGGAAAGAACTAGGTGAAAATGCTACAATTCAGAAGGCAGAAGAAAGTTCCTGAACTCAAGACTCAAGGAAAGGATTCACCCTGCAGAAGAAAGTTCCTGAACTCAAGACTCAAGGAAAGGATTCACCCTGCAAAGACATGGTGAAGAAAGTAGGGATTTGGATTTGGTCCTTTTACTCCAGAGAAGATCTGATCAGACAATTTCCAACTCTCACATCTGTGGAAATTCACTGTATCCAGCCAGAAAGGCTCTTTGATCTTGTCTGCCTTGCCTTCTGCCATAATCAGAAGCAGAATAAGGTGATGTGATGTTTTTAAAGCCTTTCTTGTCACCAACATCTTTAGTTTGGCCTCAAGAGAAAGACTGAAACATGGTGAAATAGATCAATATCTTCTAATTATGAATAATTTTTCTTGATTTCTCATTTTCTTTTGTATAATTGAACATGATTTTTTAAAAATACTATTTTAACTTGTCAATTTTGTGTTAATATTTTAGTTTGTATTTTTTTATTTAACCAGTAATCAGCTTACATTACACATATCCATTGTGGGTTGTTTTGCCCCCACAGAACTGAAAAGTTTGAGTTTTAATCTCAGATACATTTTCCATTTGTCTGTTTTTCTCCAGTATTATTTTTCATGTCTTTATATGTTATTTTGGCATTTTTGTGACTTTAATACCTTTAGGTTGGGGTTTACAATAAGGCTGTTTTATTGTTAGCCCTTCAAGATGCTGTATTTGGCAAGCTGAGCAATACAATCCCTCTAAATGACCTGTGGTTCCCGACATGCAGAAGTAACCAAAGCTTTAAATTCAGCCCTCCAGTCATGCAAATGCAATGAATGGGCCAATCTGCCCAGAACCTAAACATCAGTGCTTGCAGTGTCTGTATTTTCAGTTGTAAAAAAAAGCCTTCAAGTGCCAAGAAAAAGCACTTTGTGAAGGGAGCTTTTTGTTTGTAGTGTCTTTGCTGTCATACAGAGAGACCCGACTCCAGACCAAGACCCCGTCACACAACGCAGAGACAGAGAATGGGCTGTGCCCCTAGGTATTAAATGTTAGATTTCATTTAAATTTCTTAACATTCAAAAATGTTAATTAGTGTTAAATACTGAAGGCTCACAGTTAGTAAGAAGGTTAAATGGCATTTTTTTAATCCTTTGTATCAATATTAGAATATTCCCACTGGTTATGGTTTAATTTCACAGTCTCTCATCATAATTTACAAATCAGGAATGAGTCGTTGATGGCAAAGAATAAGAGATCCAACCCACCAAGGCAAATGAAAGTTTTCCAGCTGGCTGAAATCAAACCCAGAAGTCATCTGAAGGCAAAAGTGAGTATAATGAGGCCAGTCATCTGATTTTAAAGCCAGAGCTTCACATGGAAGGCTCTCACAGTCCTGTAGGCTGTTATCTGGCAACTATTTACTAAGCTAAAAGGCAATCCATAAAAATAACTAAACCCATCATTTAAAGGGTGATGACATTGGTCACTGTGAATTCACAGTAAGCACATTGATGGTGGTTTCCTCAAAATATGAATGCTTTTAAATGTTCAGAAACAATATTTAAAATCAAGTTTCCTTGCTTAGGAGGTGCTAGCCGTCAGCACTGATGTTCCTTTCCTTGATAACATTCTAAAAGTTGCAAAGTCTTCTCATCACTCTGCAAAATAGGTCATAGACAAGTAAGAATTATAAACCAGAATCTTGAAGAGTCAGTGTTTCCAAGCAAAATAGAATATCTTTTTCTTGTTTTGTTCTGCCAGCTTTAAGAAGGAGAAATGAAAATATGTAGTGAGCAAAGAATGGCAAAAAATTCTACTCTTACCCTACCCTCTAGGAAGGGATTATGAGATTTCATGGAGTGAGTGAACATAAGTAACCAGTTTATAAATGGTTCCTTAATTGTAGCAATTATTAGTGAGAAATAAATAAAATTCCTAATGACAGAAAGTCAACTCTGTAACTGGCTCACATGTTTTAGAAGTATCCCAGTCTTCTGCTGAGACTAGTAAAATCCTTTATAAGAAAACCACCAAAAGGCTGTGGAGGCTACTCAAGTGTACAGTAGAAAAACATGGATAGCTCCATGCCAGGTACAGATAGATGCACTGTGAAGGTTTTTTATTTGTAATCCTGATTTTGACATTTCTGGGTACTGCCATTAATTATTTATATATTTGATTTGCCCCGAGATGCTGTTGAACAAACACTGTCAGTCTTGCTTGAGGTAGTGTTCAAGCATAGAAATCACAGATACCAACTTATTAGTTCAGGGACAAAACTGTGACGGCTGGCAGATGCTCACAGTGATGCATCACAGTGTCCACAGAAGAACACTAAGCTTGAAATACTGAAATCTGTGTGATTTTTGGTAGTGATTACATGCCAAAATCAAGATGAAGCACTTGACCAATGTGTGTTCAGGAGAGTTCAAAGCCAGCTTAAAATATTCCTATTATTCTAAAACAAACAAACAAACAAAAAAACCAAACGAACAAAAAAGAAGATAAAATACGACTTAAAAAAAAAAGAAAAAGTTAGAATTCTTTTTCTTCTTCTCTTCTTCTTCTGCTTCACAGATCTCCTTTTCAGGAAAACAGATAAATATTTTATGACTAATTTGAATGAAAAGAGATAATTATATCTTCATGCTAAAATGTTGCTTTCTACTGTGTTTGAAAACATTTTCAGAATCCCAATTTAGAATTTAGGGGTTCTGTAAGATGCTCTTGAAATTCAGTCTTGAACACTATTTATGTCACCTTAGGCTATGACCAGCATAATCACCTGAATGAAAACTGTGTTGTGACTAAGCAGTAAAGATCAGTCTTAGCAAATGATTTGCACTGAAACAGTAGTACATTCATTGAGTAGAAAAAAAGAAATGTTAACAAGCTGATTAGTATTCGACAGTTAGGATGTTTCCAATTATAGTTTTGTCAAGGCAGCCTTAATTATTTCCCATGATTGTTCCACATGTAATGTCCATGTTATCCAACTCTAAATGTTTGCTGATTCCATGGCACTTTGTGTATCAGCAGGGCCTGATGACTGTGTTTTCATATACAAACACCAGTGTCCAAGACAAATCCTAGCTCAGATGTTTTCTGGTACCCTCTAGCTCCAAATGGATATCCTAGAGTGCTATGAAGTTTTTCTGTGCAAGAGAAACTGGTTCAATCATATTATCCCTCATGTTTTTAAAGGTGTTGAAAAATTGAAAGGATGTAAAATCCAAGAGACTAAACTGGCTTGAGAATGGAAGTGAGATCTTGGAATAACTGAGAAAATAAAAAATGTCAGTCTGATTACACTTATTTCAGGTAAAGAAAAGACTTCATACTGAATATGAAAAGACCTTGAGGAAAAAAGCAGTCATTTCTAACAATGGAGGAAGTTAAGCACCAACCTAGGAAATGTGAAGTGATAGGTTTACTGAATCTCTTGAAGTTTTCACAGTAAGACTTGAGCACCTTTCTTATCAATAACACTGATGGAGCATCTGGGTGAATTATAACTGTCTGTGAAGTGCATAAAATAAAACTACTTTTAAGGTGTAGGGCTTTGTTTACCTGCGGATTTCCTGATGGCTGTATCGTAGGAAATGAAGGAGGAAATTTAACCAAAATAAACGAAACATTTATCAAGGAAGGTGAAGAAGAGAAACAGGTCCTAGCACAGTAGTTAGAAGAACAGCTAAAAACGTGAAGTAAAAAAAAAAGGCAAATTCTGTTCTGAGATGTCTACATATTCAGATATACCAGTGTAAACACGTCTATGTGAACAGAGGATTTTTATTCCCTACAATGAAAAGCATTACCTGCAAGGCCACTTAAATAGAAACAATTATTTTAACACAAAGAAGAAAAGAACTGCAGCAAAAGAAAGAACAAGAGTGAAGAAATAGACCTAAGTAACTCTAGCTCTTTGGTGGAGTGAAAAAGGAACTTGTGAAAGAAGTGAAGCAAGAAATGTCTTTATTTTGCATTTCTTTTTTCCATAACAAGTTATTGTTTGTTTTCATAGTTAGTGTTTGATATCTTTCAAAGAGTCTTTTCTGAACCTGTTACTTGTCAGCAGCAGTGAGATATGACTGAGATATGGGCAGCAGGGTAATCTGTGCAATCATGTGCCCAAATAACTGAACTCATTATCAGTGCAACACTTCTGTGGCCATCAATGCCAAAATGCCCTTCCCAGTGCTGCTTGGGGAGCTGGGTGGGATGGGGGTTTTGGAAAGGAAAAATCCTTTCCCTGTTGTGTTCTCCATCAAAAGAGGCTGACTACAATCAGAGGAGTCCCATCCTTCTCAGAGAGTGCAGACAGCTGCTACCCAGCTTGTCATGTTTCTGGACAAAATTATTTTTTAATTATTTTGGAAGCAATACTCTGCAAAAATTTATTATAGGGGCATCTTATGCATCACCTGTAAGGATAAAAAAGTTAAGGAGGACCTCAGTCCAGGAATCACTTAAAAATTCTGCACAAAAAACCAAAATCAGAGCTTCTGAGTGTACATTCGTTATCATCAAAACATAAGTTGTATCATTACTTGTACAGCTCTAATCTTGACCTGCTTCAGTGCATTTGAACTATTCATTTAGTTGTCATCTGATGCAAGTTAAAACATAGTCTTCAGAGCATTCTGTCTTAATCCCTCCCTGAGAGTGCCCAGCCTATAGTCACCTTTACTAAATACTGTGACATTCACTGGAACAGTTCTTATATAAAGGCTCCATTTAGAGAAACAAATGACCCATTTATTAACACCCCCAAAGAAAACACTCTTAATCTAAATACATTCCTGAGGAAGTATCTGTTTCTATCCTTTATAGGTCAGCAAGTTTACTGTCACCTTCCTTATCACACCAGCAGAATGGGAATGTCCCACAGCACGGCTGCAGCCACGGCTTCCACACCACGTTGTACACAGAGAGCTGCTCCGGGACTGGAGTCAGTGTCCTGCGATGCTCTTCGATGGCTCTTCCCATCTTCCTTATGACAGTGTCAAAGAGGGGCTCAGTGTCAGCTGAGAGAGGTTTGGCTTCAGAAGGATCTCGTGAGAGATCGAATAGCAGTGGAGGATCATGATGGGTCACGCCTTCCCCAAAACATGGGCAAAATCCTCTATCATAACAAGCCCCAGCTCCAGGGGGACTGAAGATAGGGGTCACATAGTGAGCCTTCCAAATGGCTCCACCTGGCAGGAAAGAAAGAATCATAGAAGGCTTGCAATGATACTGGCAGTTATCACAGGGAAGGGTGAATATTCTTCTAGAGTTTGTTTCTGTTTGCACTTCAGCTCTACATTTATTAGTTGATACAGTATTTTAAATTCGTTTAAAAATGGATGACACAGAAACCAATAATGAAATATGATTTCTAACATTTTGAAATTTCTCCAAAGTTTTCATCAAGTACCAGCTATTACTGACTTCGCTTTTTATGAAAACATGAAAAAAAGATTTGGGGATTCCATAGCTTGCTTCCTTTTTTAGGTAGTAGTACTTCTGACAAAGGGTTGAGACAGGACTTCTCTATGAGACAAGGAGGGTACAGACTCCCCAGGCATTGCTTTCAGGTGGAGATGTGGGTGAGAGCTATCCTAAGCCTTTAAGCCACAAAAAAACCCTCTTTGTGCTATACAATACAGGCAATGGTAGTAAGTTCTTTAATTACACCTGGAATTACACGGAAAGCTGCAATCCCAGAAAAAAAAAAATGTGTTAGGCCAGTGTGCCCTCCTGTAGACTGGACCTAATTCTTTGGAGAGAAGCTGTATACTCACTGTCTTTCTGGTGCCACCTCGCAGCATGTAAATGAATGCCACAGTAGTGGAACAGGAACTCGTGCTCTGAGTGCGCAACCGTTCCTCGCAGTAAAGGCATCAGATCCCGGCCATCAATTATCCTAACAGCAAAAACAGAGGTCATAAGACTAAGGTAAGCTTTACAGGACTGCATTCTTTCTGCTAACCTCTTGCTGGAACTGTCAACTTTGAATGTAGAAGGTGTTGGGTAGAGGCTCAATTTCAAATGTAAAGAAGAGATGACCAAGATGTGCTAACATTTATGTGCCCAGAAAAGAAGTAGGACTGAAAAAGAAAACGTCAGACTCTTAGAATGTGTGTCCAAACCTTATTTTCCAATGTTTTGGTGAAGAAGGAGTAATAAAGATACTTGTATTTGTACCTGTCCTGAGGCACTTCCGCTCCAGCCAGATGAACTACTGTAGGATAAATATCCATAAGGCTTGTAGGTTCATCAATAACTGTGCCTGCAGGTAACACTCCTGGCCATCTAAATATCCCTGGAACACGAATTCCTCCTTCCCAGCCTCCCATAGCTTTTCCACCTTTCATTAAAACAAAAAAAAATTAAAATAAATTTCATTTAAAATAAAGAGAAATTTTAGACAAATGTTATTGGATTATCATAAGCTAATGTTAATTTAATGAGCCTTCTTTACTCTTTTTTTACTCTTTACTGCCAAGCTCCTTCTCTTCAGCATCGGTGAAAATGTGTTCACTAGATCAGCCCCACCCCTGAAAGATCTTCTTTTTTTTTTTATTTCTTTCTTACTACCTTCTACTGTTTTACAAACACATTACCCCATCAGCACTCAGTGTGGATAAAATTTTCAGGCGTGAAATGATTTCCTATTTTAGTTCTCATCTTTCTTTTACAATCCTATAACATACTTGTTGTCGTGAAAGCAAGGATTCAGATGTAAGATGAAACTAATATTAAGTGAGAAGTTATACAATCTTAATAAAAGTTACGAGTTATGATTAGTTTCCTCATGAGGAAATTACAGTTTGAGAATTCATGCTTATAAAGAACACCTGCCCAGGTTAGCATTTACTTTTTTTTAAATGCCTAATTAGAATGAGACAAATTTGCTTCTCAGTGATAAAACACTGCCTTTCCTTAAGCATACAGTCTTATCTACCCCTTAGGGGTGTCCAAACTACTTTACTAGTTGTTGCTGGGTTGTCATTGTGCCTGACAGCTCTTACCTTTGTATATTCCATTCCAGCCACCCAGCTGCCTTTTGTCTTCTTGTCTTTCCAGCCATCCACCATGATCAGAGGCAAAGTAAACTAGAGTAGTATCTTTCAAGCCTTCCTTGTCAATAGCATCTAGAACCTGACCTGTAAACGCAAGAATATGTGTGTATTAAGAAGAAAAAAACATAGATTACGCTACAAAAATTTTAACCTCTGACTTGTCAACATTCATCAATGTAATTTCTTATCCCTGTAGGGCTGCCCATTGTTTAGAGGAGAGTTTTTTGAGACCAAGATTTTTGGTTATTATTTCACTAATATTAATATTTTTGCTTATTAAAAGCATAGAAAATTTGTGATATGCTGTAATCCCTCTATTCTTGGTATTTTAACAAAGGAGTGCAACAACCACAGTCACAGCCAGTGCTGTAAAGGGCAAAAGTGCCATGTACTTTAAAAATATGGAAAAAAAAATGTGATCCAAGGCCCCAAAAAGTTGGATTCTGCATCAGTGGTGGCTATCATGGGAAACATGAAAAAATATCATGTACCTTTACTTTATATTGTCTAGACCACAGTTCAGATGTGCGTTACATTACTGGATGGATATAATATGCATTAATGATAAATTTCCTTTTCATTTAAAAGTAATTCTTGAACTATTTCTGATGTTCTTAATTTCTTAATTATATTCTTGGTGTGCAAGTGTTTGACAGGTAGGTCTGAATCCAATTTCTGTATATCACAGAATCATAGAATCAGATGGGTTGGAAAGGACCTCTGAGATCATCACGTCCAACTCTTGATCCAACACTGCTGTGGTTACTAGACCATGACACTGAGTGCCACATCCAGTCTCATCTTAAAAACCTCCAGGGATGGTGAATCCACCACCTCCCTGGGCAGCCCATTCCAATGTCTGATTACCCTCTCTGTAAAGAATTTCTTCCTAATATCCAACCTAAACTTCCCCTGGCACAGCTTAAGCCCGTGCCCTCTTGTCCTACTGCTGACTGCCTGGAAGAAGAAACCGACCCCCACCTGGCTACAACCTCCTTTCAGGTAGTTGTAGAGAGTGATGAAGTTTCCCCTGAGCCTCCTCTTCTCCAGGCTAAACAACCCCAGCTCCCTCAGCCTCTCCTCATAGGACTTGTGCTCGAGTCCCTTCACCAGCCTGGTTGCTCTTCTCTGGACCCGCTCCAGCACCTCAGTATCCTTCCTGAACTGTACCTAACTCTTATCCCTTTTGCAAATATGGATCCTTTTCCTCCATCGTGACTGAATGATAAATAATTCCTCTTTCCCTCCAAAAAAACAGGCTGAAAAATAACATGAATCTAATCTGGGGGAGCATACCAATTAAAATTTATGAACACTTCTGGATTTATGAATGGGGCTGAAAAACTTTCACTACTCTGCTTAATGCAGCAGTCAGAGATAAATAGCCTGCTGGTTTATATCTGGAATTAATTTGCTTATCAGTTTTATCACGTTCTGATCACCTACTTAGAAATTACCATAAGAGGCTGAAATAACTTGTCTCTATAAATCACAGAAAACTAAATAATTCTCAATATTTAGTAAGAAGATTAGGAGAGCTCCTTGACAGGAGCTAAGGGGACTTGGTTAAAACTGGTAAACACTTGACAAAAGAAAAAGAATGAACAGAAAAACTCATCTTATCCAAGACTGCAGAAAGTAAAAAGCCAATGCTATAAGCCAACAGTGCTCATACAAATTGACAGATGTTCATAAAAAGCTTAGAACTTGTTCCTACTTGCTTTTAATTATCTTTCTTGTTCTTTTAATAACAATAGCGTTTTATTATGTATTTAGACTTAGGTATTAGATAGTTTCAGACATTTTTATTTGCTGTAGTGACTTACCCACCATCCAGTCCATCTCCTCTACATTGTCACCATATAAACCATGTCTGCTCCTCCGAAGAAACTTCTCTGTGGTGAGGAGAGGGGTGTGGGAATGTAAAAAGGAAAGAAAGAGGAGGAATGGCTTGTGCTTATTTCTAAGGAACAGAAATCAACATTTTGTTATTAGGGAGGAAGGTTCTCAATGCATACAGAGGTCAGTCGTAATTAAAAATGGTATTATTTGTGTGTAGATATTTTATCAGTCTCTTCAGAGACATCATAGTTGGTAAGATATTATAACACAGTGATTAGGATTTGTCTGATCAAATTATGTTTGGCCTGTATAAAATGACGCTCTTTTTTCCTCTGAGTCATAGACAGAAAACTTCTGGATTGAAGCTCCACTTTCTGCTATTGCAAACCACCACTGTGCTACTGAAGCGAAGGCAGCAGGTTCATCTCCTGCCAGCTGCTGCCCACATATCAAACTGTATGACAAGGCTACACCACAGCTCTGCTTTTCCTTCCCTGGCCCACACATGCATTTCTGATATTAGGTGCTATTCCTTAAAGCTACGATATTGGTCTCATTGATAGATTTATGTATTTCCCCAATATAGCCCAGAAATATTCAGTCCAACACATGGACATTTGGAAATGTTATTAGCTTTAGTGAAGCGAGTAATATGGGACATCCTTAAGCAGCAGCTAATTTTTTGGTTTAATGATATCATATACTTATTGATAATATTTAAAATGAATAGGCATAATAATACTTATAATCCTATATAATATTATTTAAAAAATTATAAAACACATGGCAAACTGCTGTTTAAAGTTACAAGATGTGGAAGAAAATTTGTGATCAAAGAAAAGCCACTTTACCTTTCAATGAATGAAATGGATTCACTCAAGATAAGGGATGTAGTTCTGTCTGTCACCATTGGCTGCTCAGTAACTTCATGGTTTCTCATCATGATGCAGTTCCAGTATCGAACAAACCCATAACTTGAGAACCAGGATACAAAGAACAGGAGAAAAAAACCAGCGAGGCAGGTCAGTGTTTTCCAGCGGACTGGAATCAAGCCAGTCAGTCTTCCCAGGGCAGCGGTGAGTGCAATGAGGCCAATCATTTGAGTAGAAAGCCAGAGTTTCCTTCTAAAGGCTCTGTCCATCTCTGGTGTTTCTGTTGGTTGACAGTCACTTATTAGCGTAAAAGGCATCCCATAAAAATAGTCAAATCCATGATTTAAAGGGTGATGGCAATGGTCGTTGCGGGATTCACAGTTAACACCTTGATGCCACTTCCCTGAAAATACAGATTATTAAAATGTGAAGAGAAAATATTTTTAAAAAATGGACAAGTTTTCCTCATACAAAATATTTCTCAAAAAATGGTTGGTTTCGTTCTGCCAGTGAGGACTTCATCCAACACAGAAATATACTTAGTATGTAGTGATATAATGGGTTTGATTAAACCATACCTCTACCAACAAAGTTATTGGTGCTCTGCACACATATTCATGCTCTTAAGCTTTTATCAAATATAAAAGAAATGGACTATATAGGGAATCAGAAACTGAGAAGAATTCAGAACTTAGCAAAAATGTACTGGCCTTTCTGGAGACCTATCAGGTAAAGTAGGAGGAAGCTGTCTCTTTTTAAGCACAGGGTAAAATAACACTGTTCTGTTGTCTCTTTGCTTTGAAGGTGCAATGCAGATTTGTTTCTGAAAAGTTTTGAAGAGCTTGATGTCAGGACTGTGGCAACACTCCTTGTTGGTGCCAGACTGATAAGGGAGGCTATGGAGGGTAGTCAAATAACTGGTAGCTCAGTTGTCTGTTTGCCAGATAAACCACCAGATCCGGAAAAACTTGATCTCAGGAGATCAGGATTTCTCATGAAGCTGTACATACGTAAGTAACTTTGCTGATCATTGTATCCCCATATACTGAATGAGAATAAAAGACTTTGTTTTATAAATATGTTTGCCACTTATTTGTATTTAGTCAAATTTTAAAAAAATTAAAGCCCCCTTCTTTTAAATACTGAAGTCTTCATACATCAGGAGGAACATCTCTTGACCTTTTGCAATGCAATATTTTCCTTAGTATGAACACACAAACTAATATGATGAATGGCACATCAAAACCATGCTTTTTCTTCCCCTTCAGCCTATTCAGAGAGACTGGTTAGGCACTTACACGGGGACTTTGCCAGCAGGCTCATTTGGCTCAAACACTGAAGTTTGTGAATATCTGAATCAAATGATCAAAATCTACCTCTCGTCATAGAGATTTTATGATCTGTGTTGTAATGCAGATCTTGGGTCCTAGGTCTATAGATCAGAATGAATGTTTAGAATTTTACTTGAAAACTAATTTGGAACTAGTTCTTGTTGTGGAGTCAGGAATTGGACACTTACAAGAGGATGTTACAGTAAACCATTTGCTTAGGATATTACCAATACGTATACTAGCAGCCAACCCTATGCAGGTTTCAATAGAATTGCTGAGAGCAAAAAAACTGCTTTGGAGGAGGGGAAAAAATGCTGCTCTTTAGATATAAATATAAAGAAAGAACGGAAGTTCTATTGTAGGTGGATGAATTGCTTTCAGCTAAAATCTCTACTCAGTTTACCTCTTGACGTATTTAGAGCCAGCTATAGAACGAAACAGGTTTGTAATCAATACATAGATGCACTGGTCATAAATACAGGTGCAGCTAAAGTATCCTTGGAATCCTTGCACTCCAACGCCTAAATCTCCAGCCAAGGTTGATCAAGACTTCTAACATGCTAGAAAAGACTCAAGTCTCCAGAAGATAAACTAAATGTATAATTAAGATAAATTAATCTCTGAGGGCATACATTATGCAACACTGGCTTTCTGACTACAAAGTATCTTCAAAGCCTTTCCCAGCAAAAGGTCTCATTATCATCTCAAGCTGCAGATTATTAATAGGATTTAATTTACAATCAAACTGGTTGTGCTCAGGGTAAAACAATCAGAAACCATTCAGGTGCGACTCCTTAGTGCTCATTCAGCTGTGGCCACGTGCATAGATGTTAAGATTTTTTGCTTCATGACTTGAATGTAAAGTTCTTGTGGGGTTTTGTGTGTCACTTATTTTCCATCAGTCCCTACAGAGCAATTAATCAGGATCTGCCAATTCAGTTAAACTAAGTGATGCTTTTGGTGTCCGTAGTGTGATTTTAGCTGAGATGCCCACAGGGAGAATGCCAGTCCATTTTACTTTTGAGAAGTATGCAAGAGTCTCCCTGCAGGGCAGTTCCCTTGGGAGAGTGGAGAGAAATCTGATTGTTTTGTTAATGACTACATGCTGAAACAAAGCTGAAGCATGCACAGGGTGTTTGATTAAAACAACTAAAATAATATTGCTGCAAAACTAACAGGAGATGGAGCTTTAGTAATGTAGAATTTAAAATGCATGGAAGGCTTCTTTTAGTTTTGTCCTGTGAGATTTAGATCTATCCTGTTGAATGAATACAAATCTATTTCTAAAGGAACTGTTATTAATACATTCTGTTGGTTTGTACAGCCAATATTTTTCAAAGTCAGATGTAGATTTTGGGTTTTGACATTTTAGATGCTCAGATGAAGCAGGACAATTAGCTGAAAATTCAGCTCAGGAATGTTTGTGCTTTATCACCTTGTGGAATTATGTGGCATATATAAGATAAATAATTATTTGAAACTAGATCATGATTAAAAGTTACAACAATTAAGAAGATAGAGCTATAATATATAAACAAAATTCATGTCAATGCTGAAGAAGGCAATGTTTTACAGGCTGTACTGAAATCTTGGTGAACTTAGTGTCATGCTGTATTCAAGAAAAAAATAACTGCTTTGTTTCTGGTTTTGAAAGGCCAAATCCTGCGGTACTATACATTGTCTTCACTGTTTTAAGTAGCAGCTGTTCCCTTTTGTTGTGAATGTACTATGAACTGGGTAAAACATCATCATGCATATTTAAATGGCACTCGTATTTTTGCTTTCTTTTTACGAAGTAGCATCGAATAAGCATCTTGTACCTGGTACAATAATATTCAGGAATTATTAACATATTTTCCATTATATGTTTTAAGAACCAGCAAAGTTTTTCCTTTTTATCAGATGCTTGTTCTTTTAAGAAACATACTGTTTGGTCAGGATTTCTTCTTACGTAATATTCTCAAATTGGGAAATAAAAGTATTCCAATGGAAGTATTAGCAGTTACTAACTAAAACAACTGGCTTGAGTGAGATGTCCAGGTGAAACACATTCTAGAATATTTTTTCGAGTGTCTCCATACCTATCAGTCCTGTGCTGTAGCCTTGCTGCTGCAGTATTTTGGCAAAAGTGGTTTCATTTGGAGGAAGGCCTCCTGAGCCGGCATTCCAAAAAATAACACGGTAATTGTTTACAGCATCCATCCCTAAAAATGAAATAATTTGAGTAAGTATAGAGTATAAGAGTACTTTCAGCCAACATACTTTGTTGTTTCCCGATTTCATTGAAATGATAGTGTTTAACATTCATCTTAATGCTCTTTGTTTGGAAACATGAATCTAGGACTCTGGACAAGGTTAAAAAAGAGTTAAGCCTCTCTATGGTACCCATTCTTCTTTGTACCTCATACTGAGACATCTTATTTAATTTAACTTCATTTTATTTGATTAAATTTCATTTCATTAGGAATGACACAGTTGTATAGGAGCTTTTACAGGTTACAGTGGCATCCAGGCTGTATGAGATGCACTTAATTAGTGTGACTGTGAGGGCAGGGAAGAGCATAAAGAGACTTAAATCCTTTATTAACCTCAAACTCCAGCTCATATAGGGCTGCCTGGAAACTCAAGATTTCCCTGCACAGTGTCATGGCTGGTATCCCATCTCTGAGACCCACAGAGTAGCTACCTAGCACTGCAATATTCTCTTCACCTGCAGGTTTACACCTCATTATTTAGCAATTTATACTGGCATAACCCTGTCATACAGCATTATGTGAAGTTCAGTCACTCCTGGCAACATCTCTGGTCCTGTTGTTATAGGAGGAGAGGGTTTGTACAAGCCCACGTGCATTTTCAAGCTA